GCTGCCTCTCGTTGTCAAACTCGTATAGCTTGCTCTCGTGGATGGTTCGGATACGGAGTTGACGCTTGACGGCGGAGATGAGCGGGGGGCGCTGGAAGAGAGCTCCGGTGAGCGTCTCAAGGGCACGCGCAAATTGCGCCTCGCCTCCAGGGAGCTTGTCGTGCATGCGAATGACGCAGACATACTCCTTTCCAGCTCCCTGCTGGGACTTGACGAGACGGGTAGCGCGATCAATGCATACGATGAGACAACCAGTGACCTTGGGGTCGAGGGTACCACTGTGACCAGTCTTCTCGACTCTTTGGCACGCGTTAGCTGAAAGCGCTTGGAAAGAAAAGTCACGAGTGCTTCCTACCTCAGCATGCGCTTGATCCATGACACGACTTCGTGAGAGGATGGGTTGGAAGGCTTGTCGAGGTTGATGACACCGGAGCTGATGTAAGACTTGAGGTCTCGCGACAGCGGTGTGCATCCATTTGGGATGGGAGTGTAGTGCGATGTGCGAACGAGCACTGTACGCGCATTAGCAAAGCATTCTGGAGCTATGGGGAAGCTGCAGCATACGGTCGCTGTAGTTTTTGAGCAGGAGCGGCCAGTCGCTCGTGTCGATGGCAGGCGCAGCCGCCGCTGGCTTGATCACATACGCGTCGGGGTCGGTCTGCACGAGAGCCATGGCGATTATTGTGTCGAGGGTTGGTGTTGCAATTGGCGATGCGATGTTCTCGAACTTTTTCACAGCAGACAGTATTTTCGCGCCGCTCAAGCTATTGGACGCTATTGGGCGCTAAAGAACGCTTGGACCACCACGCCGGATCTTTGTCGGACCGTTGTCTAACACGCATCAGATGTTCGCTAGACAACTAGATTCAGGAGCGATTTCGTTATGGCAACCTACAAACAAGTCAGATTCACAACACGCTGCGATATTATTAGGGGTTTATTGAATATCAAGTGTGTATTATACGCCGCCTGCAACTACAATACGCTCTTTCTGCGCACCTGGGCAGTAATCTACTTCCAACTCTGATGATTCTAGTTCACTACCTGTCCGTGCTCGTTGCTGTGCAAAGTGGTGATATCTCCACTGCGGACGCCCTGTCTCTCGTTCAAGATCTCGTCATCTCCTGTACTGCGCAGCGTGGTGCCGTCCATCTTGCCATCGACACCGCGCCTAACACCAGGCTCGACCAGACTGCCCGCTCCACTGGGTACATTTGGCCAGAACTCCTCTTCAGCGTCTAACAGGGCCCTCCAGATAGGATCAATCCTGCTCTTGACCTCTGCCCATCTTGCATCATCTCGGTCAACAGCGTCGCTTACACCCTCGTTGACAATGCGCTCAAGCTGCTCAACGAACATGAGGAAGTCGCGATTTGACCAATTGGGGATAAACTCTCTGCGCATCGCACCGCCGTCTTGGTCGTTGTCGTAGTTCCGAGGAGAAGATTGAGCATCTTGTCGGCGGGCCCAGGACCAGGCCTCGTAGTATACCTTCTCGGTCGACCATAGTAGAATGGCGCCTTCGAGCCATGGCATGAATGTGTTTGGTTGTTGGGAAGCAACACTGGCGAACAGTGCTTCATAGCGACGGAGACCTTCGGATTTGACGTTCTCCTGGAGTGGTGAGGGAGGAAGATCGATCTTGTAGATCTCAGCAACTTCTTGGAAGAACCGCAGCTCCCTCTCTCCATTCTTGATAGCAGATTCTAACCACGCAATGAATCGCGTGGGAATGTCTGGCTCCTGACCAGGTGCAGTCGTTGACTTGTGCGTACTGCGGACGAGGTTGAGGGTGTGGTTGATAGTAGCAAGATAACCTTGAAGGTACTGCCTGTCGTTTGCGAGCCATTGTGCGATCAGAGGCTTTGGTAGGGTACCCTTTGCGGCACGCTCGAGGAAGGGGTGTCTTGTAACGCGGAGCAATTGTTCGTGGTTGATGGCGAGGAGATGAGTTGTGACTGCCCAAGGGACGTTGGTGGGGTCGATGTCGCTCTTGCTGGCCCAGGTTCCGGGGTGGTGGTGAGGCATGGTAAGTACCGTTCGCGTAGGATCTGTGTTATCTGTATTGAACGGTGTATGTATTCAATGAGGTACATCCTGCGGATCTGGCGGGGTAGCAAGCTACTTATATGCTACATGAGAGATGCCTGCCAAGCGACACGATGGCTTCGAGGAATCACAATTACGTGTTGAGGCTGAGGGATCAAGAGCGTGTGGCGTTGCCAAGTAGGATTGATGGTGTTGAATGTGCGCATGACGTCGGACAAGGACCATCGGAGTTTGCGACGCTCTGAGTGGTGCAGGCGTACGGCAAACCGGAATCTAGAATCCCAACTCGGAACTTGGCAGTCGAATTCGCAGCGGAATTCTTGGCATCGAACAACTTAATACCTGTCCAAGCTATACTCTGTGGCTGAAGCAAGGCGGACTGCTTGGCGCATGACGATGCCGCCACTTTTGAGCTGCTGCTGGTGTGATAGTATGAGCGTGCCGGACAAAGCTCGGGTAGAGGGATTAGTATACAAGCTCACGCGACCAAGATTTTGAGTTGAGGAACATGGTGTTTGCCGGTTAACTTGAAATTGTCCCGGCATATTGCCAGTCGTTCGATGGTCACATTGCTTCGTCGAACGCGGATGCTCGGTGGCTGTGATTTGTAAGACGAGCGGACGTGGCGAAGAGTAAGAGACGTCGAGACAATGCAGCAGAGCATTCAAAAGGCCAAGGGACTTAGTCGATAATTTTGTAGTGAGATGAAGACATGAAGGATGGTATTGAGTGAAGGTATCCCGAAACCTCGGTCGCCTGCGTTAGCGCGGCGCGTCATACTGCAGCCTCCGCCTCGAACTTTCTTGCGACTGACTGTCGACGCCAACCCTAGCCCAAACCAGCGGGCTATCCACACAGCACGATCATGGAATTCTCTGCAGACGACGAACAGGCTCTCAAGCAATACCTGCCCAGCGAATTCGGAAAGAAGGATGGCTCCGTGAACGTCGAGGCGCAAATCGAGCGCGCGCGTAGGCCAGTGGTTGATGAGAGCAAGCAGGCAAAGAAGGAGAAAGGGTCGGACGAGGAACAAGATTCGGACGATGATGATAGCGACATGAGCGATGAAGAGGACGAATATCCAGTTTCTCACGAACTGGTCATCAAGACGCACGATCGCGCGGTCACGACGATTGCGCTCGATGCATCCGGTACGCGGCTGGTAACTGGAGGGAACGACTGCACACTCAAACTGCACGACCTTAGTGCACTTACCCCGAGTACTATCCGCGCATTCAAGACGGTCGATCCCTTCACCACAAAACCTTCGCAAACCGCCGAGTCACATTCCATACACCAGGTTATATTCGGCCCGCACTCTGGAGGCCAATTCCTGTGCATTACTGCAACATCACAGGCGAGGCTTTTCAGTAGGGATGGTGAGCTTATATCGGAGTTTGTCAAGGGCGACATGTACCTGAGGGACAAGCACAACACAAAAGGACATACGGCAGAAATCACAAGCGGCGCATGGCACCCCACGAATCGCGACCGCTTCGCTACAGCAGGCACAGACAGTACAGTGCGGATATGGGATGTGAACAAGAGGATGAAGCAGGAGGAGGTTATCGTACACAAGTCAAGAGCTGCTGGTAGCGCAGGTATGACAAGGATGACGGCCATTGCATGGGGCGCTGCGGCAGAAGGAGGGAGCAGTATGCTCGTGTCAGCAGCACTAGACGGAAGTCTCGTCATGTGGGGTGGTGAAGGACCCTACCACAGGCCGACAGCAGAGATCAAGGAAGCGCACACGAAAGACACATGGACAAGCGGACTGGATATCAGTGCAGACGGCAGGCTGGTGATCACTAGAGGAGGGGACGATACCATCAAGCTATGGGACACGAGAAAGTTCAAGACGCCTCTTAACACCACCTCACATCCGTCAACGTCCTCACAATATCCCACATCGAACATCAAGTTTGCGCCCAACTCGCAGAGCATAGTCACAGGATCAGAGACCGGGCACCTCCACATCCTCAACCCAGCAACGCTTCGCCCGGAGCTGGTCACACCAGTCACGCCAGGCTCTCCTCTGATAACGGTCAACTGGCATCCGAGGCTCAACCAAATCCTCACAGGTTCGGCCAACGGTCAAACCACAATCCTCTTCAACCCCAAGCTATCCAACGCCGGTGCTCTTACCATCCTCAGTAAGGCACCCAAGAAGCGCCACCTCGATGACGACCCGTCCCTCACTGTAGACATGGACCCGCTCGGTATGGCTGGTGAAGCACATGATCCTTCTGGCAATGCAGCCTCATTCTCCGCACGCCATCCCACCATTGGTCTCACAGCCTCGGGCAAGAGTCGCGACCCACGGAGACCGCATATCCCAGCTACAACCCCTTTTGCCAAGTCAACGCCTGACCAGAAGTATGTCATGGAGCAAATTGAAGGCAGTGATATGAGAGACGAAGATCCAAGGGAGGCGCTGCTCAAGTATGCGCTGAAAGAGGGAGAGAAGGCTGTCTTTACCGGCGCGTGGGAGAAGACCCAGCCAGTTGGTATCTACAAAGACTACGACAGTGAAGAGGACGAGAGGGAGAAGAAGAAGGCAAAGCGGTAGCCGAGCCGGGGCTGAATACCGACTTGGGATCCCTACAAGGGATGTTTGTATCATAGCGAAATATACCCAATAGCACAGAGACTATGGATTAGTCAAGCTACCTATCAATCCATACAATGATCACGGGTAAAACTCCTAAGACACCAGATGCGGATGAAGACTTGGGCACCATGGGCGCACGTGTCAGCGCCCCTTATCATCCGACCTGGGTACCTTCGAAGCTACCCAGGCAGGGCTACACTAGCGTAGCCGCGTCGCGCCCCATAAGCAAACGCAAACAACCCCACTCGCCTCGCATCACGACAACCTCCAGCCCACAACCGCCAATTCGACCGCCACTCCTTACGCAACCCACCAATTCCGCGCCCAAACCACCGCGACGATGTTCTCCACCACCTTCCGCGCTGCGGCCCGCGCACCCACCTCGACCTTCGCACGCAGCTTCTCGTCCACCCGCCCCTCGCAGGTCGCGCGCATGACCGTCATCGGCCGTCTCGGTGTTGCGCCAGAAGAAGTCACTGTCTCTGGCGACAGGACACTTGTGCGCTACGTAGTAGGAACGAGCTACGGCAAGGGCGAGGACAAGAAGACCAGCTGGTTCCGGATTGCGAGTTTCGTGCAGGGCGCGCAGAAGGATTTCCTGATGAACGTGCCCAAGGGATCGATGCTCTATGTGGATGCGGATGCGCGCATGGAGACGTACCTTGACAGCGAGGGCAACAAGAAGAGCAATTTGAGCTTGGTCGCACGTATGTTTTCGGATGCGGGTGGATGAGAGAGGTCATGCTAATTTGTTTGTGCAGGCAACTTTGATGTCTTGTCTCGTGCTCGTATTGAGGACACGGAGAATAACGACGAGGGCCTTGTTCAGGAAGCTTCTGGTTAGATGCGCAGTTTTGCTTGCTCATCCATCTTGCTTCGAACATAATGTCCCGTACCGGCAGATTCTACAACAGCTCGAGTGGCAAGTGTTGGTCGCGGGGTAGAGAAGTTTCAACGAGACGCGTCTTTGCGCGGCGCTGTCGGATCTTCTTATGGAGTTTCTTTTTACGATATTCAAATGTACGACTATGGGCTCACAATTCACTTTGTAAGATCTCTACTCTAGGAGTGGCGTGGCTTGGAATTATACGCAATGATACCTTTTTCTTCATGATGCATGAACGATACAGCCACTAACAACGCAATGACGGGAGAAATTCTAGCAGCAAATAGGCAAACTACGCACTCATCAATTAAGCAGCTTGGTATGCCTATTGCGTCTCTTCAGGCTACCCACTTACGCACGGACGTGATGCGGCGAACGAAGACCTCCGAGTTGGCCCATCCCAACTTTTTGTGGCGCAACATCCGGACTCCAACACAGCACTTCACATAATGCACAGAGTCGTGCCGTTACCAGCGCGTCAGCTCTGGGGCCACGCGCCCCGAGTACGGTCGGTCAATCGCTTCAGTCGTCGCCCACGCACATTCGCGACGGTGTCTGGCGCAGACCGGTACGCCACTATACTATCAGATCCCACCGATTGACCAACACTGACACTTGTGTAGGCCATACGATGTAATAGTTATTGGCGGCGGCCACGCAGGCTGCGAAGCCTCCGCAGCAGCAGCCCGCTCCGGCGCCCGAACGGCCCTCATAACGCCCTCAGTCCACAACCTCGGTGTCTGCTCGTGTAATCCTTCCTTCGGCGGTATCGGAAAAGGCACCATGCTTCGCGAAATCGATGCGCTGGATGGTGTTGTGGGTCGCATTGTGGATAAGGCGGGTGTGCAGTTCAGGGTGCTGAATAGGAAGAAGGGACCTGCTGTGTGGGGACCCAGAGCGCAGATCGACAGAGCGTTGTACAAGAGATATATGAAGGACGAAATGCTGGCATACAAGGGCTTGAGTGTTGTGGAGGGTAGCGTGGCGGACATCATCGTGGACAGGACACAAGAGGAGGGATCGAAAGGCCAATATGGAAAGATCACTGGTGTGAGGTTGGAGAGTGGGGAAATGATACCCACAGGAAATGTGGTCATTACGACTGGCACGTTTCTTGGTGGAGAAATACATATTGGTCTTGAGTCGTTCCCATCCGGGCGCATGGGTGAAGCTGCGACCTTTGGACTGAGCAAAAGTTTGAAGGATGCCGGATTCACAATGGGGAGGTTGAAGACAGGGACACCGCCACGATTGGACGGAAAGACAATCGACTACAAAGTTTTAGAAGCGCAGGAGGGTGATAATCCACCTATGCCCTTCAGCTATCTGAACGAGCGCGTTCAGGTCGAGGACCAATTACTTAATCACGAGACACGAACGAACGAAGTGACGCACGACGTAATACGAAATAACCTCGAGAAGTCAATACACATCCGCGAAACCGTCAAAGGGCCGCGGTATTGCCCATCACTGGAATCCAAAGTGATACGTTTCGCAGACAAGACTTCACACATTGTCTGGCTGGAACCGGAGGGCTTCGATAGCGACATAATATACCCAAACGGAATCTCTTGTACAGTGCCCGCGGACGTACAAAACACCATGCTCAAGACTATCAAGGGTCTTGAAAACGTGAAGATGCTGCAACCTGGCTATGGCGTAGAGTACGACTACGTCGACCCACGGCATCTCCGTTCTACGCTTGAGACGAAGAACATCTCGGGTCTCTTCCTAGCTGGCCAGATCAACGGAACAACCGGCTACGAAGAAGCAGCAGGTCAGGGTGTCATTGCTGGCATCAACGCTGGCCTGAAGAGTCTAGGGAAAGAAGCCATGGTTTTGACGAGAGCGGATGGATACATCGGCATCATGATCGACGACCTCATCACGAAAGGTGTCTCAGAACCCTACCGCATGTTCACCTCACGATCCGAATACCGGATGTCTGCGCGCGCCGATAACGCCGACACGCGTCTCACCGCCATGGGCCGCCTCGCCGGCGTAGTTAGCGATCTACGATGGAAAGCTTTCGAAGACGAAGCCGAACAAATGGCCGCTCTAGCCCAAATCCTCCAATCCAAAACCATGGGCTGGACAGACTGGAACAAGGAAGGTTTCCCCGTAAGAAACGACAGCACAAAACGTTCCGCATACGACCTCCTCCGCCTCCCCAACACCACCCCATCCAGCCTCACCACCCTCCTCCCTGAAATCAAAGGCTTCTCACAACGCATCCAAGACCGCGTTCACATCGAAGCTACCTACGCGCCCTACGTCGCTTCCCAAACCGCCACACAAGCCCGGTGGCTCAAAGACGAGAACCTCAAGTTACCAGTTGACCTCGACTATGAATCCATATTTGGGCTTAGCTTCGAAGAGAAGAGGGCGTTGGAGGTAGCGAGGCCGGAGAGCGTGGGCATGGCGAGACGCGTTGAGGGTGTCACGCCGACGGGCGCATTGAGGTTGTTGCAGTTTGTGAGGGGGGTGGGTAAGGAAGAGAGACAGGCGAGGATGAAGGAGGAGATTGAGGCGAGGAAGGAGAAGTATAGGGGTGTGGCGCAGGGGATTAGTGTTGAGGGGTTGTGATGGGTAGGTGGCTGTGGTGGAGTGTAGGTTTGTAATATATGGCATTGGGTGGCGTTGGAATCCTCAGATGCGATAGCTAAGTCTTCAAACTTGTTTCAAATGGTGATGGTCAACAGACGGTCTACCAAGTCAATCGCAATCATCCCGCATACCGAGGTACAACCCCAACAACCATTCCGAACCAGATCAGGTCCAATTCTGAGTCAAATGCGCATCCTCTCTTGCGTGGAAATCTAAACTTGCAGTCAACCGAACGTCGGGGTCGCTGCTGCCTTCCAGGACTGTGCCCCGCTGTCAGATGACGTCGGTTCGCGAACGCGACTGCTAATCTGAATATCACATGATGCATGCCGTGCCACCTGGGCACTCACTTCCAATAGCGTTTCGAAATGGTGTTTCTTCCTGCTTCCTGCAACCGCCCCATTCCACAACCTGGATCTTCCGTCTTCCTCTTCGACAACGAGATCGTCGATTTCTGCAGAGTACGCATCGGAGTGAGTTGCGCTTACATATCAATTGGCATCATCATTGGATGCGAAGATGGAGAAGGATCAGAATGGTACGTCTTTCTTTTGTCATTTTCCGGAGGTGCGTTCGTCTGCTACAATCTTCGTCGCGGTGGGGGGCTGGATTGTGGTTGCGCAGCGAGAGGTGCTACGCCGCTGTCAGCTTGGGTCACTGTGCCGCTGGTGTTGAGCCCAGTCTGCGCTTTACTTGGACCCTATTACGCATGCGCTCAGAACGACTCCATCCCACCGGGCTACGCCGCCATCAGTTTGGGTGACTGCGCCTTTGGGATTGACTTGAGTCTGCACCTTACTTGGATCGGATTATGTCGTTCCTGTATCCAGGACAAAACCGCCCCGGCATGCTACGCCTCCATCACCTTGGGTGACTGTGCCTTCGGGTTCGAGTCGAGGTTATTCCTTGACGCGGGTCAGATTACGCAGTCTTGTTTCTGTGCCAAAGAGGGGGCGGTCTCATTTTGAGTGCCTCCGAAGACACGCGCGGATGAGTATACGTATTGAGAAAGACGTTAGGTATAAGGGGATGCATTCAGAAGCCAGTTTGGATCTCAACATCTTCGTTCGAGGCTGTCTCGTTCTTCATCCTATTGCTTAGCTGATTCACAGTCATCTCGTACCGCTTTCCAAACTCCTTATTACAGCCATGAGACTCGATTTAGCAGTGCTTCTCTTCGTTCGGCTGGCGTCGTCGATGTTGTCTGCTAACCTCAACGCCGCAGAATCCCTGGAGCAAGTCAACAGCGAAGGAGCACCACAGAAGGATGTAAGCCCGCCAGTCGATCAACACACTGCCACCTTCGAGCCTAGAGACGTGACGCTCGGATCTACCACCGTTGAAGTGCAGCAGGATGTTTCGTCTGAAACCCGAATCTACACAGTCTGGGCAAGCGATGTCCACAATGAAGCCCAGGTCAACGAAACGCGCACTTGGCTCAAGGGCCTTGTCAAAGACAAAGACAAGATGCGTGATGAGCTAGGATGGAACTGGGACACTGTCGAAGACCTTCTTGCAGATGAGGTAAGCCATGGATGTACGAAAGGCATGGGAGATTTACTGACTTCTTATCTTTTCCCTCTGTAGTTTGACAAGCTGTACGACGAAGGTAGGCTTGACGAGGAGCTCGATAATTTCGAGGTGGTGCGTTGCTGGTCAGGCGTGGTCTTGGACCAGGCTGGATACGAGAAGGTCGCAGCCAAAACGGAATGGTAAGTTATGGCTGTACAAAGTGCATGGGAGACATATGCTAACTTTGTACCTTTACCCCTGCAGGATAGAGGCAATTGCAGCTAGCCTACACACTTCGGACATGAACGCACGTGCACTCCCGACAAAGACATATACCGTCTACGCAGCCGACATCAGGAACGAGGCCCAAGTCAACGAAACTCGGGTTTGGCTTGAAGGTTTGACCAAGGACAAGTCTAAGATGCGCGAGGAGAAGAGGTTTCCCTGGGATGAGCCCGAAGACATACCAGAAGACGAACTCGACAGATTGTACGACGAGGGCAGGCTCGACGCCGAGCTTGACAATTACGAAGTAGTTCACGCGTGGGGAGGCGTTATACTAGACCAGTCAGGGTACGACGAGGTGGTGGCCAAGAAGGAATGGGTGGAGCATGTCGAGGATCCGAGTCAATACCACGAAGTGAAGATGATTGCTGTCCCCAGAATGAGTATCAAGACCACGGGAACTCTGGAAGCTCGGAAATTCGAATGGGGAGATTGGCAGAAGCAGGAGGGTGCAGCGCGGGACTTGGTCCAAGCCAGCTGTTACGAGTAAGTAAAGGTCTGAATGCTGTATCTTGACTGGGCTAACATGTCAACCCAAGGGGAAGCAATTTGGACGAATTGTAAGAACCCACTACGGTACTTGAAGCCCTAAAAAGGCCGGAACTAATCTGTTACAAACAGCAAGGACTACGTTTACGAGAAGAGAGCTGGAGAGGGAGTACATGTGTATGTTTTGGATGATGGAGTACAGGTAGATGTCAAAAAGGTAATGACTTACCTCACATACGTTGGTGACATCGCTCTAACCTGACTCCAGGAAAACGACGAAAAAGTGTTTCCAGGTTTCGACAACGAGCAGGACAATAGCGGTATCGTAGAAACAAGAGCTTTCACCAACCAAAATGCTGCGCACAACATTCGATACGACCATTCCCCCAAAGGCCACGGAACGAAAGTAGCGTCCAAAATCGTTGGGCAGTGGGGAACCGCAAAGGGAGCGACACTGGTGCCGGTGCAGGTCAAACCGGGCGGAGACGATATTGACAACGGGTTCGAAAGGATTTTTGCAGATGTAAGCAGGCGGCGCAGGAAAATACCAGGGTTCCAAGCTGTAAGTACGACCAACAACCGACGCCATCGACGCATGTTTACTGTTCTGGACTAAGCTTATTGGGTATACTAACGTCGCGTGACTTTCAGGTTGTCGTTATGAGCAGCGGCACGGAACGCGGTGTCGCAGACAATGGTCACAAGGGCTACACACGAGAAGAAGCAGAGAACGATTACAGAGCAAAGCGACAGATTCTCTGGATAAAGCAGTTATTCAGTTACGGGGTCCCCGTGGTGCTCGCTTCTGGCAATGAAGCCGAAACTGAAGGCCGAAAAGTCATCGACCAATTCCCCCAGGTCTTGGAGACAGATGACTTTCCCATTATCAACGTCGGGGCTGCCACGCTTGCAGGCAAAGCTGCACCTTTCTCGCAAGGCCTGGGTACCCAGCAAGATCCAGAGAAGCGCACGCAGTTGACCATCTACGGTGTTGGAGTGGATGTCGACGTCCACGATCAATATGACGGTGCAGCAACGCAGGACTCGGGTACGTCGTTCGCTGCACCGGCGGTGGCAGGCATTATTGCTACACACATGAACTACGAATCCTGGGACCAGAGCAAGCAAGGACCCGACCGAGTGAAAGAGATCAAGAGATGGATAACCACGCCTGAGTCGAGCTGGGAGCGTGTCAAAGATCCTGACAAGCAAGTCAACATGGTAAGAACGACGGCAACACAACCCGAAGTTAGTAAGGAAGCTGACTCAAACAGATTTGGAACGGCGCCGACAAAGCAGCCCACGACAGCGTCTCCAACAACCAGTCGCCCAGCCCAGCCCCTCAAGCACCAAAGCGCACCTTCACCGTCGGCCTCGAACAAACCACGACCCCAGAATGCTCCAGCGTCATCTCTAACCCCGACTTCCCCCCACATGAAAGCTGCAAATTCAAATACCAGAACCGATACTTCTTCTACCGCCGCGACGACAAGAACCAAGAACCTGACAGCCTGTGCACCTCTCTACTCAACGACTTTCACCAAGACGACCAAGGCGTAACGACCGACGAGAACCTCTTCGAGCATCCGACGTGGCCGGCGGGAGAGTGGACGCTGGATCTCTTCGGGGAGGAATATGTCTATAGGAATGATGGGCAGAGTCCGGGAGCGCTGTTTAAGGGCGAGCAGCAAATCAGTTGCGCCGGTGATCTGGAAAACCATGGTAAGTCTAAGATTCCGGAGTGGCTATGCGCTTTGACTCTTTGCTAACGAGTATCATAGATCCTCTGTCGGATGAGTTGTGTGAGAACAGTCTGACCAAGGAGGATGGAAGGAAGAGGAAACGGAGACGGCTGGTTGGTTGCACGTGGTGAGTTCATGTGTGGTTGTGGCAGCGACATGGGTACCTCTTTCTATCGTTTGATTCTTTTTTGCTCTATGTAGGCTTTCGGGATGTTTTTGTTTCTACGATCTTTTTGTCTCCGATGCTATATGTACAACCAACTCAGACGCCAGGCGCATCTTCCGCTCACTCCTGCTGCGACATGTGTGTTGGGAAGTTGTAATCCGTATAATCGATATGTACAAACGCGCGATCAACGTACGGCACACTCTCTGCACATCTGTTAGTTGCAAATCAATGATAGCATGAAGAAGACGGAAAACTTACCAAGCACATACTGCAGACTCTCACCCAAGTCATGGCTATCCCTCAAACTGAGATTCTCATCAACCACAATATCCACCTCGACATTCAGCTTATCGCCCGCGTGGTAAGCTTGCAGACCCTGGATCCTTTTAATAGACTTTGCAAAGCGCATCGTCATGTAGAGGAGGATGTTGCGCTCATCTGCCGTGGCACTCGCACCGGTCAAGTTGCGAATGTGTTCTGCAGAGGTAGCACTCCAGTTGATGATAACATAAGCGGAGAGCAAGATACCACCGAGCGAGTCGAGCCACCAGATCTTCGCGAAGTAACCCACGAGCGGAAAGAGGATAGAGAAGGTGTTGAAGACGACATCAGTCATGGCGTCTTGTGCTAGTGCCTGGACGGACGAGTTGCGGATGAGACGGCACCATAGCCAGCAGAGGCCTTTAATGACGACTGTAGCGGCCATGATGGCCACGGCGGGAATAGTCAATTGCACGATTGTGCGGTCGGGTCCAGTGAGCCGGGAAATGCCCTCGATGCCGACTTGGAAGAAGGATGTCATCATGATGACGGAGAAGATGAGTACGCCGATGGGTTCGAGACGGCGGCGGCCGACTGGGTAGGCGTAGCGGTCTTGACGCGCGATCATCCAGGATGTGAACCACACGATGGCGGTAGACAAGAAGTCGAGGGCTGCGTCGACCAAACTGGCGACTACGGAGAGGGACGAGGTGAGGACTGTGACGACAATCTTCATGATGAGGAGGGCCGTGTTTGCGCTGAGGTTGACGTATAGTGCAAGCTTGACAATGGGGCTCTCGGTGTCTTCGTCTTCTTCCGGGACCCAGTCCTTCAGCTTGGAGTTTGCGACCTCCAGGTCCTCTTCGTCTTCTACAGCCTCGTCGTGTGCAAGCAGGGGCGTGTTTTCGTCTGCTTCGGGAACTTTGTAGAGGTTCTTCGGTGTGCGCTTGACCATGGGCTTTTGCGCGCCATTGCCGTTGAGACTGCCTGATGAACCACTTCGCCCGTTCTCACTATAGTAACCGGGCGTGTTGGTGCCATTTGTACCAGCGGGGGTAACAGCGAGGGGAGAAGTCGAGGCCGAAGACTCTTCTCGGATGGTTGAGGGAATCTTGACTGCGCCGGATTCCATGTTCGTGTACTCTTGGATGAGGTTGTGCGGGAGGGAGGAGTCGAGTAGACGGTCGATGTACAAGTAGTGCTGCAGGAGCTGGTTGTTGCGCTCGTAGTATTCGCGGATCGGCTTCTTCATGCCCTTGAGCTCTTCCTCGGACTTGTAGTACTTCTCCCACTTGTACCGGGGATTGGAGTTGCCAATCAGCCGCTGGCTCCTCATCTGCGGCGTGTTGAGCACATGCGCGCCGATGCTGCTCCGCCGATCGGAGTCGCGGTCGTAAGGCATCACGAGCCCGTTTCTGTATGCTTCCAGGTCTTCATCGTCTGTGTCGCTGCCCCGGCGCTCACTGCTGCGTATAGTGGACGGCCGACGTGCGCTGTTGAGTAGCGAGGGGAGGTGGTGCCCGCGCGTGGATATCGCCGACGCATCGTTCTGCAGCGGGAGGAAGAGCTTGGAGCTGGCCAGGCGCGGGAGGCTCGAGGAGCGTGGGACTGTCACCGGAGAGGGCGACTTGGGCGGTGGTGTGGAGCCATAGTCTGTCATGGCTGCGATTGGAATGCAGTCGCTCGAGAGGCGTGATTAGAGGGACAATTCCTTCGAATCAAGTTCCTGCGCGTCGACGCGACAAAGACAATGAGCCAACCTGGTGTCGTTCTCTTATCGCTATGGCGCACCGCGATGGACTACGGGAAAAGACTTGAACGGGTAAATGCGCGCACCAGCCAAACAGACATGAGATGAAAAGCGCGGCGATGCGAAGAGTTAAGAAGAAGATGCCGTGAAGCACTTCAGCCGGTGTCAACGCCCAAGAGACATGACCAACCGTGGTACCGCCGACGCGTGCGCGAATGCGACGAGTAGGTTCGCCGAAACAAGAGGGTCCTGGTTCGGAGACGGGATCGACATTTCTGAGGCCCAGAATCCTTGCGCCTGCATCCACTTTAGCTGTGGCCATAGCGCCACACTAGCAATCTGGGGTCGAACAGCCGAGACATCGCTGCAAGATTTCGACTATAGTTTCGTGTCTTATGTTTCACGCAGTCACATTGAGCCCCTCTGGAACATTACTTTCATTCGCTTGTCATCTGGAATCTCCCGTTGGGACCAGACTTCATGAAGTTGAGCCTTCTGGCCGTTCTGTGCCCATTTTTTGGCGGGGACCCACACTGACCGGCAGTCTCAAGTAATGTACTCATCCCCACGCCGGTACAGTAGCGCCGTTCCAGGTCTCAAACTCCTGTCTTGGCTGTCTATCATCTTCAGAAGTCGGCGCCAAAATGTGAACGATTGACACGAACGTCTTGGTCATTTTTCATCGGCTCTAGTCAGTACCTGGGTACCCCATGATGCCTTCTCCGCCTATCCCTCGCCAGGCTTTTTCGTTCTTCCTAGGGCATCTTGCGCGCACATCTCGATGAGCCCGGTGAAGATGTACGGCTGGTCGCGAATACGCTTTCGACATTGCTTAGCCTCTTGAACCAGATGCTCATGTAAGGTGCAAGAATCGGGCACAGCGTCCTCCAACCAAAGCGGCAGACCCCCCGACGACATGTTATCCTTCAGCATCTGGTTTTGCACAACGATGACTTCAAAAGCAAACTCTTCATTCATCTCCATCATCGTACGTATCCTAGTAGCACTGCAGGTCTCAAGCTCCGGGAGCCAACAGTAGGCTGTGGATAGAACGAAGAGGCGAATGAACTTGGATGATGGTGGTAGATTTGCGTATGCAGAGTCCAACAATTCTCGATCAATGTCAGGCCACCAATTCCATGCATTTGACTGTGCGACCATGGCAGTCAAAACGTCGTCTCGTAGCTGGGGGACATTGTACTTGTCGGCAAAGATGTAGAGACGCAGGAAAGAAAGCAGCGACAGGCGCCATCCGTTGATCCATTCCGGATTTGTATGGTACACTGATTTGAGGCCGTCCCGCTCGTCGAGCTCGTCGAGTGCTGCTGTGGTGTCTGGCAGAGTCTCTGCATCTGGGCTGCTGCTCGTGCGCTGCGGAAACTGCTGCTCTGTAGAGCTTGTGGTAGTTTGTTCCACATTCTTCCTTGTTGAATTTTGGACAAGTATTTCAAGTTGTGGGAAAGCAGCGCCGTTTGACAGCTGACATTTTTGGCTGTGTACCCATTGTAGAAACATGCGGAACGTCTGCTCGGTGACGTCTGTCAGGGATATGGAGCGATCAGTAGCCTCCACGAAGGAACCCTCGAAAGCGTTGCGGAAGTAGGGTGAAGCAGCAGATAATACATGGCGGTAGACGGAGATATCGACTGATGCGTCTGCCTCGCCGACGCGTACGGTAACTGAGGCGAAATCCATGGTCCTATCATGATTGTTAAGATTGTCTTGGATATCATGTTGATACGGCTTACAGGAAGTTGAGCGCCATTACCGCGACAAATTGCGACCAAGCACCACTGTGTCCACCGGTGCGCCGGAGTCGGTATGCGCTATCTTGAGTGTGGGGTAGGTACGATGCTGGTAAGTGAGGGCGAGTGTGGAAATGGTGACGACCTCGGGAGGAAGTTGCCTATTCCGTAGCGCCACGCCAAGAAGTGAATTCACCGTACCGCTGATAGAACCGTACTCTCAAGGCGTAGCTTACTCTCCATACCAGCGTAGTCCAGCTGCTCCTTCACATGAACAGGAAGCACGTAATAAGCCCTTGAGACAAGTAACTATTCTCCACCTTACTATAGCGTCCACATGCCCCGAAAGTTTCTCTCTTGCAAGACACGCTCCATCTCAGCACATCATATCACAAATCCGCCAACGTCTATCATTAATCCCCGAAACCCACTCTGTCCTCTCCGCCACCAACCTCGCCCCTTCCTCGTCGAGCACACACCCCGACCACTTTGATACAACCTCAGCCTCATCAAACCATTGCTCCAATCTACCTTCAGCATCGGCCTTTTCGATCTCTTCTTTCGGTATACCCTCATCACCCCAATACCAGCTGTAGTGTTCTCGTATCGCGAACGTGTCGTACACGATGGTGTCGAGCCACGCCCGCGTGGCGGCCACTTGGGCTATGTTCTTAGGGTCTTTTGCGTAGACTGCATAGCGTTTAGGAGGGGCGATGTGTGCTTTAATTGCGCGGAGGCGACGAGTCGCTATTGTTTGGGGAGGACGAGGAGATGATTCTGAGGCGGTGTTTTGGTCTGAAAGTTCAAGCAGGGTGGCAGCTGCTGTTGCATGGGTGTCTTGTAATGCTGCATTCTCTACTCTCTCTTAACGACATCGTCTGGAAATATACAGTGATATTGAGCAGCTCTCGTACCTTGCACATGTTTCGATTCCATATCTGCGGTACGTGATTATGCGACCAAGTTGATGAAGTGTCCTTGAAGCGAGTATTGTGATAGGACGCCTGGTTGCAAGATATCAATTGCTGAGCTCGACTTTTGAGGTAGTGTTCGAACCAACAAAGTCAGTAATAATGGCAGATACAATCCCGACTCTTGATATGACCGTCTCGGTGCACCATTCCCTTCTCTGAGAAGTCCTGTGAAAAGCGGGGGAGGCGTGGTCAAATGTAGTAGAGTCGCATAATCGGATGCTAAACCGATCCTACTAATCAGAACTTGGCTGATAGGCCAAAGGATGCATCAGATGCCATGATACAGTCTGGTATGGCGCTCTGCGATTTCGCGCAATGTTGGCTATGCATGTCAGTTCAGCGCGGTCACGCCGCGAGCCGGACTACGAAGTCAGACACACCCCGCGAAGCACAGCACAGGAAACTGTCCTTGCTACATGACTACGGCTTCCGCTTGAGACTCCAGCCCTTCTGCGCACTGGAATGTTCTAGAGCAGCGAAATGTCGATGTTGCAGGTCAGCGCACCTGCGAGTTTGAGACGGCATTGACGCTCAAGCCCCGCTAGCGCGCCCAACACAGTCTAGCTGTTTCTGCTTGCCGCCCGCCAAGCGCACCAACATCGATCAATATTCCTGGCTTTTTTCCGACATCGACAACACCTTTCGACATCCGACTACTCACAACAAGCAGTCAAGATGCCGGTATGATATCACCGCCCGCGGTTGCGACGCACTGTAGGACCACATATTGACACTTTCGCAGTCCCAAAAGTCCTTCCGCACCAAGCAGAAGCTTGCAAAGGCGCAGAAGCAGAACCGCCCCATCCCCCAGTGGATTCGCCTGAGGACCGGCAACACCATCAGGTACGCTCTACCCACGATCCGCACGATCTCGCCGCTTCCGATCTCCGTCACCAGAGATTACAAGGACACGATAATATGACGATGAAAGCACGAGACTGACATTCCGCCCACAGGTACAACGCCAAGCGCCGACACTGGCGCAAGACTCGTCTCGGTATCTAAGCGTATCGCCCCCGACGAACCATCCCTCACTCGATTCTCGATTCCCAACTACTCCTTGTTACTGCGCCGACAACCTACCCCACACGAAACGAGCGACTACATTGGGAATTTCGCACATGGCGGGAAGCGAGCGACCAGTCTTCTAAGCGAAGCACGTCTGCAAACGAGGGATGCTATGGGTGGTGTTCTTTTCACGTTACCGGATACCTACCTACCTCTCATTCATGGCGCTTTGGGTCTGTAAATGGGAATGAAAGGAATCGATTCATGATGGTTTAGATCTGAGCAGTGCTAAATGGAAACACTTGCTGGGTCACAACAAATGACTTCTGGTGTGCTGATGGTCGTGATGTTGTGCGCGCAATATGATCCCAGATGCGTCATGTGTGACGAGCGTCGCTTTTGTTATGGACTGGATACTCGCACTCCCAACGCGGGTTGGCACTAACTCCATTTCAGGCTCATTGTCACATCTGGCCTGAGAAGACTACACGTGTACGGCGCTCTTGTGAAGGATATTGACTACACTGCATTAACTGTATTCCGCGATGACCCCCGCGATATTGATTTAGCCCCATTGCTTAGGCTTTCGATAACACCACCTCACACAAGGAAAGACCCGACAGGTCTACAGACTACACTAGGATAACACAGGCAAATTGGAAAATCTGGCGTCCATGTAGGCTCCAGGGTTCTTAGTCTTCTCATTGATTGAGGCGACTTCTTGGAGAAACCATTCTACGACGATCACCTCCGCGCGTAAGGTTTCTTTGGAGCGGCCGGCAACAATCGCCGTTGCAACGGTAACGGTAAGCGTCTCAGTATCAGCCCAAGGCGGTCTCTGTCGTACGTCCGATCTGCCTACGGATGGCCACATTAGCGAACATGCCTCAGAAAGCAAGCCACCTCAGACAAGGAAATCCCCAAACAGGTCTGCAGACTACACCATGATAGGAACAAACGGATCAGAAGATCTGTAGGCTCCGGGGTGTTTAGGGGTTTCTCCGTATAAGGTAAAGCCCTCAAGTTGACGTTCTCTGACCCATCACCTCCCACTCCTCACCTGGAACTTGGGTCGCTGGGTCAGATCCACGATCAAACAAGTTTCCTCGCTCTTGCCCGCTGTCTCGTACAGGCTGACAACACCCTTCTCGATTCGTATAACCGTACTACTGCCTGCATAGCAGACGCCCTTCTCCATTCCACACCGATTCGCCATGATGATATAGACGGGTTTATCCCCCTTGGCCTCAACAAGCGGTTGGAAGCGTTCGACCCAGTACGCTACTGTCGCTATATCCGGCTGCGATGGCTCCTGTACAAGTTCCGTAGGCGTGAGATGGCACAGCCAAGCCATGCTTATGCAAACAATCGGGGATTGAGATGTTAGAGCGAGAGTAGAGAACTCGTAATCGGCCCATGGGGAGACGAACTTGTAAGGATTTATATCCATACATATCCCCATGGTAACCTTTCCCAGAGTACCGAGTTGGCCGGCATAGAAGGGAGAATCTGGCGATGAGGGATTAGATAGTTTATGTGACTTTGAACCGGGCCCTTCAGATGCCCATGTCTCGTCTGTGTAGTAAAGGAATGATTTCCGGTAGTTGTTTAGTATTTCTCCATCTGGCGATACAGTGACGGTGGAGTTGTACTGCGTTTGAGTGTCCCCGGGATTGGTGGCTGGGGTGGTGATCTCTGGGTAACCGACTGTGACGTGGCAGCTGTAGTGTTTTGCTACTTTCTGCGCCCATTGGGTTGAGATGCCGGATGTGGTAGGCTCGAGGAAGGGTTGGATCTCCTCCAGTGATTGGAAGTTGTACCCAGAGAAGGCGAGTTCGGGAAGGACGAGCCAGGATAGGTCGTGAGGAATGGCGGTGGACTGGAGGATGCGTTCTGCTCTTTGGATGTTTTCTGGGACACGCCCGACTTCTGGGGCGAATTGGAGACAGGCGACTTTCATGTTTGCAACTCTCTTGGGTTTGTTTGGATGAATGGATTCTGGTTACGTCCAGGACTTCGGCGGGGAATTGTGAGGCTGTCTGGGGTTTTCGGAAGGCTCCTCAGAGAAGACTTGTATCTTGTGCCTGAATCAGTCGAGACTGATAGGCCGAATAGTTGCTATCTTCCCGTGCGGCTGGGAAGTACCGACTGACGCTACTCAGGCACCAAGCACTGGTTGATTTGTCGTGACAGATGGCTACGAAGTCTGATTGGGTACCAAAAGGAAAATGGGACCGAATGCGGCGACCGATATGGACGGTAGGATCTTAAGGAAGCGTCAGGCGAGTACATGTTGAGGGTATAGATGCAGCTGGCTGCCCCACTAGACGATCAAGACCCTTGTCGGCTATGATGGCCAGCCAATCGCGCCATTTCCGCACTCCAGTCTAACCCTATTCGGCTATGACGCGCATAACTTTCGATGGCCTCACGAGAGCCTCCGCAGCTTACGCAAAGCTACAGCACCCCTCGTCATGTGTCGCGCCTCCCGGTAGCCCTTTCATCAGATCGAAATGGCAGGTAGACGGCTTGTCGATGCCGCCAAGCTATTCAATGCCTCCAAATCTGTCGCACAGAAGCACGTCGCGCTTCGCTCGAATCAGTGGGACGCTTACAACAAAACCTCGTCGCTAGCCAAAGCCGTCAAGAACCAAACGGATCGCGTCACCCTCACGGCAGCCGCTGCCATCGCCCTCTCACAACGCTTCAGCGAAGAAGCTCCATCGTACGCAAAAGCCGCAGCCGAGCGGGCGACGAACACACAATGGACACAGCAGGCGGATATACCTAGGAGAGACACAGTGAAGAGGGACACACCAGTGGAGGGTGTTAGGGAGGGTGTAGAGCAGGATCATCACTACGATCGATCTGGTCAAAATAGCGCTCAGGCACCTCCGCCCACAGAAGAATTGGAGGTCGAGCAGAAGAAGGCCCCCAGATCCCCGCTACCAGACGGCACCATACCAAGCCAAGGGTTGACACTCGAACAAGAGGAAAAGGGCAAGGATGTGTTCTCCGAGAGGCCAGTACATGAGGCG